ACAGGGAGATCATCTCTACTTTGCATTGTTAAAAATATTATGGAAATTTATTTCTAGACTCAAGTGAATTTACCTAAAGTTACTAGGCCCATACAGAAGATCTGAACACCAGAGCCTACAAATGCTGTCAGAAGCCATGGTCTTTGAGGTGGTCTGAATACATCACCATGAACAAGCTTCCATCCTGTTTCCTCTATTGCTTCCTCCTGCACAAAACATCAGTCAATCAAAACATCAATCATTAAGTATATCTATCAATCAAAACATCAATTAATCAAAACACAAATCAATCAATTAAACATCTCAATAAAAAAAATCAATCACTCAAATAAAATTACCACAAACTTTGTACATAATTTTAATAAATGTATCTTTTTTTCATTATTTTGAATTTTATTTCTTGCTAAAGTATTTTGCGTATTTTTTGCAAACTTATCATTAATAGCATATTATGGTTTAGGATATGAAACTTACGTAGTCATCTTCCTTATTGTAGCGTGCAATGTCACTTCTCAAGGTTCTAATCATAATCATTGCAATTACACCTATCACAAATAAAAAAAATTGTTATTGTTTTTTAGCATTTACTATATAATTATCTTGATGTGTAACCACATTATCTACAACAATTTCTAAATATTTAGCATAAACTTGTAATCACACAAACAAAAACAATGGCGAAATTTCATATGTGAGAAAATCTTGGAAGGTTCTTCTTGGATGAAAGGACAACATAACAAACATCAACAAAACAAATAGTCTTCTTCACGGTTCCCTGCACCATCTTGAAAGGTAGTCGTGCCTTTGCAACTGTTGAGCATGCAATGATGTAAACCTTCTTTCACACCTACAGACAATTATTCACAGGTATCGGTTCAACGGTTCAATGCAAAGGCACGGCTACTTTCAAGATGGCGCAGGGAACCGTGAAGAAGACTATTATTCAAATAAGAGGATGAACTAAGACACCAAACAGATCAAAACAATCACAATGATGAGTTAATTAGTACCTGATAAAAAGAGAACAATCACCACAGAGTTGATAATGGAAAACCAATGAATYTGCACATCACTCATTGCTAAATAGGTGTCCCATCTTGATGCCCACACAACATCACTTGGCTGATAAACAAAATAAGCAAATTAGAT